CTAGCCCATTCTATAATCCGGCGACGCCTCGCCGTGTAGTGTGGGGAAGCTAAGCATAGCTTTAGCTACCCGGGGGTGCGCCCCTGCCGCCGACCCTCCCCAAAAATCCTTTAGCCTGGTGGGGTTTTCACGTTTTTCGGGGTCTGGGGTGGACAAAAAGAGGGTAAAATTTGAAGATGCGTTTTGGAGGTCCCAAAAATCGGAAAAAAGTACCGTTTTGACACATTTTTCGGACGATTTTTCGCTTTTCGGAAGTCACAAAATGCTGTAAATTACGACATTTTTGCGTTTTAACGTCGTTGGCGGGAGCCATGCAAAAACGCAGAAAATGCTGTAAATACCAATACTTTTTGGACCCGAGATGCACAAAACACTGCAAATACCAGTGTTTTTGAAAGCCAAGCAAAAATACATTGTAAATTACAGCATTTTTGGCGGGTTGATCGCAAAAAATGCTGGTATTTACAATGTTTCTGCAATTTCAAGCAAACGTGGAAGGCACGAAACACTGTAAATAGCGGTGTTTTGGCAACTTTTGGACGCCGAAACGCTGGTATTTACGCAGTTTTTTGCTTGTGACGGGGCCACTCCCCTGTAAATTACAGCATTTTTTGCACTTTTTGAACCGATTTTTTGTCTTGATGAATGCAAAAAAACGCTGGTATTTACACGTTTTTCAAAAAATCGAAGATCGTGATGTGAACGAAACTCTGTAAATAAGAGTGTTTTAGCCACTTTCGGGGACTAAAACTGTGGTATTTACACGGGTTCTTACCATCTCACAGCACAAAATGCTGTAAATTACAACACTAGGCATAGGCCAACATAGCCTCAAGATGGGCCAACATAGCCCCAAGATGTGCCAACATAGCCCCAAGATAGGCCGCCGACCCTCAGCATGTCATGTTCGCAAGTTCAGATGACATCCCCCTCTCTCTTTCCCTCCCCCGACCCTACCGGCGTCGCCGGTGTGCGAAGCTCTACAATAGCTTATACATGTTTATACATTCATGTCAGTAGCGCCAATGGTGGGAATAGCTTATACATTCATTCCGCCGACTTTGGGCCTTCATGTGTGCCAATGGATGGCAACCATTCATGATGTGTTGGAGCGGTGTGTGGATTGGTAATAAGCTCAGTCTAGTATATATTTGATGGGGTGTCTGCTGGCCGCGCAGTCCTTTGACTACATGGAAGTCTTCTCAGGACAGGGATGGGTGACTCGTACCATGGGAAGTGCTGGAAAGGCGACAGCATCTTTCGATATCTTGCTGGGAGATCCCAAACCCGATAAGCAAGATTGCATGGACCTGACAACAGACAGCGGGTTCTGGTTCCCAAGCTGAAAAATATGTTGCTTACAGTAGTTTTCTTAGCTGCAACTGTCACCCCTCAAATCACCATTTCTTTTTGGGAACTGTATGAGGGTAGCCATCGCTCAACCAAGTATCTATCAGGAATCCTTTTTGTGTGTATATGAATATGTTGTTTCTTTGGTTGTTGTAAAGTTCAGAGCCTCATTGGCCACCAAGACATAAACAAATTCAGGTTCGATATTGCCCCATCTGTGCAATCTCCTCCCATGTGTTGCCACCAACTGGGGCCTGCAACTGAGTCTCTGCCTTCTGTCAATCTTGAACCTGAAGTTCGACCAGAGTCTATGTTTGATTGGGTTGCTATGCTCTTCTTTTGTAGCAATCAATGCTGCAACACATGCTCGCACACCATGGTGCCCTTTGGGAAACGAGGATTTACCCCACGTTCAATTAGGAAATGCCCTTGCAGCACGGACCCTTGACTTTTACTCAATACTTTGGGTGGCTGGTGTGCTTCTGTGAGAATAGAATGGTTTGTAAAGTCAAAGATACAATATAGGAGGTTACAATCAAACGGCTCAGAAACGCATGGGATTTAATCAGTGGCCTTGTGCCCCCAACAAACTGACATCTACGATGAGATCATATAGAGTACCTAGCCAAGAAAGAAGTGGTAATGCCCTCATCTTATAAATGTGTTTTGCACATGAATTGCAACTGTAAATTGTAAATTTCATACATTCCACCAAGCCAAGGCATTGAGTTGCAATATGTTGCAATTACATTGCACACTACGAAAATGTGTTGGTTCATGTTGGCTCAATGTTCCAGACTAACAATTGGCAATTATATGCAAAATCCTTTTGTCTAATCGCAGATCTGATGGGGTAAACAACTATGACAAGGAAACAGCTTCAAACATCCATTGTCTTCATTGCAATTTTCATGCCAAAGTGGGGTCTACTTCATCGGTTGCTATCTTCAGCCATAATAGTTGGCCGAGACTTCTTACTCCAGGTTTCTAAGTCCTTATTGGTGGAATAGGCTAATCAAAGGTAATTCCCCTATCTGAATGTTGATCGATATTTCATATCGGGGGCTTCGTTTGGTGAACCCTGTGCTTTTCCCCACAGGTTGCGTTGTGAAATCAACATCCAAACATAAGATTAATTTCCGGGGATATTCAGCCCATCCGGCAGCCACCTTGTCTTGCAGCCCAGGGTAACGCTGCTCGTCCTAGCACTTCAAGCGGTGGGAGCTGCGTGGCTGATTGAACAGCCGATATCATCATTGGCATGGTATCAGCCAAGACTGCGGAGCATCCTCCGTAGCATTCACAAGGCTTTGTGGTGTTAACAAGCAATAGCAAAAGACTTTTGCAAATTGTGGGGGTAGGTAGGAAAGCCTTAAGTATATGTGGGGCCTCGTCGGGAACCAACATGTTTCCCTACCTTTGTTTTGAAAGCGTGTTTTTTATTATAGACATTTCCTTAGGGAGAATCTTGATCCAATTATACCAGGTCAAAATCATAATGCTTGAAAATGCAACAAGCAACAAAAGTCGGAAGCGCTAGGATGCATAATTGCACTCTTTAAGTTTGATGCTTGTTTAATTTTCAAAACCCCTTGTGGCAGTGCCACTGTTAACAGACATGGGCGCCTGCAGGTCTATGTTTGCAAGTGGTGGATGGGGCATTACCGCTCGGCCACGGCAAAGCGACACATTTGCTGGAGCAACACTCGCAAAGTGGGTGCTCTTGATCGGGGGACCCTAACAAAATCTCAACGGGAAGAGATACGTAAAAGTGGTGTTAAAAGCGCTACCACGAAGGTGAACCGAAAGGGTAAGAAGTCGTACACGGGCACGCAGTTCCTACGTGGTACTGGGTGGGGGACTTAGTTACGCATGCATTTCGTTCTATACAAGATGTTTTTCTTTGATAAACCAATAGCTGATGAAGTCAAATGAGTTTACATCCATCTGGGCTTTAAGTTTGGGATTGGCAGGGAAGTATCCACCCCCAATCCCCAAATCTAGCGGGGTGTCCCAAAAAAAAGGTTGCACATTTAGACTGGGGAATGTTTGTTAGTCATATACGAGACTTGAAAAAGATGAAGAATTCTCAGCAATATTGTGTTGCACAACCCCAACTATTGTTTTGGATTATTCTTGAAAGTCTTCCAACTTCCAACCCCTGAGTTTGTCCATCTGTTTGGAAATATACTAGTAGTCTTCATTTGGTTGAAGTGTTTGGCCCAAAATTTTGAGCCATCATAACAAAGGAGTATAAGATCCATTTTTGCCCTCCAACCCTGGATTGCCAACAAAGGTTACGATGCACTATTTGGTTAGTTCGGTTTTCAGGCCCACATGTAATCAAACAAATAGCGGTTTCAAAAACTTCATATACTGTGATTTGACTTTCTGTTAAAGGCCATCTACTTGAAAGCCAACTGGAATTCACTGTAGATTGTATTCCTGTGACTTTTTGGGGTTACCATCTTGATGCAAAGTCTTGATCCTCTTGAATGGTGTGGGGCATGGTACTTAAAATTTACAACAGCCTATTTCCGCACCTTGTCACAAGAATTCCAAGACGGTTGATGTGTTCAAACGATTGAATCCATGAATAATGAAATCTTTGAAGGGTTTTGTTCGGAGTACAACCCATTCCATTGCAACTAAGGGCGTATCCTCCGCACTTTGGACTCAAAATGGTACGATTGTTTCCTCGGCTCACCCAGTACAGAACGCCCCCTCCTGAAGTTCCTGAAGAACTTGTGGCGATTCCGACCCAGGAGTTTTTCGACTCTTTGCCTTGGGATGAGGATAAGTGGGAAGATGCTGGGCTGATTTCTGCCCTCTCATACTTGCGTGGCAACAAATCGTTGGACCTACAAAGTTGGCGTCCTTATTTCCCTGAATTTCTGTGAGGTACTCACATGAAAATACTTTCCTGTGCAACCTTAATTTCCAGCTGAATGAACACTGAACAGAAGTGTTGCTGATTTCAACTGCTTTGCCAGCCGTGAAAAAAATAAGGCATCTAGTAACTTGGGACAGGTTTTGGCATGTTTTGGCCAATGGCACTTGTTTCAAGGCTCGTATGGACCTCGTATGGACTGGATGTGATAGTTCATGATAGTTCTGCATTGTGTTTCTGCTTTTTTTTGACAAAATCATGAATTTTATAAAATTTTAAGATGATTTCCAAAGTACGTACTAAGTACGTATTCTGTACGTACTTGACCCGTACACACCCGTACACCCGAACAAGGGGCGTATTTTTCCGGACAAAGGCCGTATTTTCCCGTACAAAAGTACGTACTAAGTACGTAAAAACGCCGTATTTTGACTATTTTCCAACATAGCATTTTTGCAACTTTTTTTGAGATTTTTTGATGGGTTTTGTGATTTCAAGATGATGATTCTATTTGAACATCATGGAAAGGATCCAAGTGTGAAATCTTGATGGTGCAACCCCTTCTGACTTGGCAACTTGCTCCATTCACCGCCCTTTCAGGTCCAATCTCAGCTGTGGCCCCCAACTGGCCAGGTCTTTGTAGTAGCTTTGCCTGTCATGGGGAAGGTTGCACGGTCTAAAAGAATCCATGCCCTTCCCTCAAAGACCCATAGCTGTTCTGAGCTTCAGAGTGGTCATGAGAAGCTACTTGCGATAAAACATGAACATCCCGATCCAGCTGAACTACAGAGAGAAATTGAGGAGCAATGTGCCTACATTGTATGTTGATTCTTTTATCTCCCAAGACAAGTTGTTCAGATATACCCGGAAAAGTTATCTGTCAGGAGTATGAAGCTCAGCTGGCAGCCCTGAAGAAGCAAAAAGAAGACCAGGCCCCAAATCCTATCAATGGTAAAATGTTTCTCGAACCAGAAGTGTATTAGTCGAATCGCAGGATATAAGTAACTATATTGATGCCCTCTTGGACCTGTCCAGGCCGTATCCACAGCTGAAGATGATACGCAACCAGTCAATCGGCTGCAGCTCAGGAGAATGGGGTTTGGGATTGCTATTGTTATACGGTTTTAGCTTACAATGCAAATTCATCAGAAACTTCACATGCAAATGGTTACCTTTGAGGGATGGAATCTGTAGTAATTCGGTCAAATCGTGTGCCCACCACTGAATGCAGGAAATGAAAATCACCTGGCATTTGCCCTACTGTTTCACAACTTTGTGAATTTGAAAACCATTGTAACCCTTTGCCCATGCATGCATGCATGCATGCATGCATATATAATATATAATGTATGCATGCATATAACCAAGAGTGGATTGAGTTCTTGGCCCCTTAGGCTACTGACGCCGAGTTGAAGGCTGCTCGGCGTGGGAAGCCTTCATCCTCAACGCCCTCTACCAGTGTGGCCCCGAAGGCAACTGCTAGAGCAAGTGGTAAGTCTAAGGCCAAGCCGGCCAAGCCAGTGATTCCACCAGAGAATTCCCCAAAGGAAGTTACAAAGACACCAGTGGCTGACTTGAAGAAATCAAGGAGTGATCAGAAGAAAGTCATCAAGAAACCCAAGTCAAAGTCGGTTCCCAAACCCTCTGTTCCCTCTGCCGCCTCGCAACCGCCTGTGAAGCGACATCGTGGCAAGAGCCCAGCAGCACCTCCACATGCAAGTGAGGAGTCCGAAATTGAGCAGCTCAAGAAGGTAGGGTTGAATTGGGTTTGGGGAATCAATACCCGCTACTTGGGGAGGTCCCAGTTAGACACCAACATCTTTTTCTTGTGGTGAGACGGGTTTGATAGTTCTTGGGACCTCCTGGGACCAAACGAATCTCCATAAATTGAAGTAAGATATGTGTTTCACACTGGATATGTCTCGAAGGATTGCTTACACTTCCAGGGTAAGGGTTGTTTCTATGGGGTTAGGTTTCTTAAAATGATACAGTAATGGGAGCTACAAACTACAATTTAACAAGTGTCCTGGAACCATTTTTGAGGTGGAAAAACATGTCTTGAGGATACCTGTTGAAGTTAGGTACTTCAATCTTCCAGTTTAACAAGTGTCCTGGGATACCTTTTTTGGGTGCATAAAAACGTATTGCCAGGACACTTGTTACAGTCAAACAATCATTGAAATATAAGCCTCTATTTTGTTTATGTGCCGCCAGCTTGGATAAATATCCTGATCTACCAAATCGTATCTGGATAAGATCAAACTTATCTGAATCAGGGTTCTGTTCCATTAGAAGCTTCCGGTCGAATAGAATCAGGCCAACGCTAAGCTGACTGCGGATTTGGAAGCCTTGCTGAAGAAAGATTCAAGTGGCCCAGCCACACCTGCTCCGAGGGTCTCTGCCCCGTCCCCCAAGACACCTGCAAGCTCCAAACCGAATGTGAAGGCAGCCCAGGCTGTTGCCTCGCAAGAGGATGGGTCTGAGGAAGAGGAAGGAGAGGAAACTGAGAACGAAGAAGGATCTGAGGAAAGTGAGCAGGAGGAAAATGAGGAGGTCCCAGGAACAGAGGTTTCAAGTGAACCCACAGAGGCAGCCAAGAACAATCGTCTTAGGCGTTTGTGTGAGAAGAAGCCCAGTGGACGTATGCAGGTTCCCCAGGAGATACATGATATCTGGGCCAAGGGGGGGCCAGAGCGCTTGGCACTTCGTGACCAATTGGAAGGTTGTGGCTGGCAGAAGGATCTCCCAGGGTTGGATGGTG